GCCCCAGAGGCCCAGAGCACAACCAGCCGGCGCCCTTTCGGCGCCAGGCCTCGGCTTAGACCCCTGGGGCTCCCAGACCTCGCTCCCGCAGGGCCTACGCCCACTCCTGCAAGACGCATCTTGACTTTTGCTCAATTAATGCACGAGGCAGCAGTTACTCATGGAACGCCCACTGCAATACTTTGCTTTGTTAACTGTATGGAATGAACTCCAGTCCAGTCTTCTCCAGGACGTTTTATGACGACTCTGCTGGGACAGGAGGTGCTGGCACTGTGGTCTCACCCTCCCCTCCCCTCCCCCAGTGTGTGGCGCCCGGGGGTCGGGCAGCTGGGAATTGGACATCCAGGAGAGACTGATGGGCAACCGCACATTCCAGGGCTAGGCCTCAGGTAGAGGCATCTAGATATTTCCTACAACCGACCAGATTCAGCGGTTCTCAACCTGTGGGTCGCGACCCCTTTGGCGGTCGAACAACCCTTTCACAGGGGTCGCCTAAGACCATCCTGCATATCAGATATTTACATTACGATCGCTTCCCTATGGAAGCCTGGGAGGCAGCTCTGCCCGGAGGCCTGGAAGACCACCCAGCTTTCCAACAGGCAGGTCCCCGAATGAAGGGCCAGTGAGCACTGCAGGGGCTGCTGGGCAGCAGCACAGGAGGTGCCAGCACCCCCAGGACTCCTTGTTCCTGAGCAGTGCCAGCTGGGTCCTTTTCAGAGACGAGCTGAAGGAGGAGGTTCTTTCCCCTCTCACGTGGGCTGGAAGCCAAGGTGGCTGTGCATTTGGAGGAAAGCAGAAACCAAGATCGGAAGAAACAACAGACCAGAAGGGGAGCCAAAGGGGAGAAAGGCTCATCCTCGGCCGGCCCCTCCTTCATCCCAAAGCCCACGCCCCTCCCAGGCCTGGTAAGGCCGGAACCAATTCCTAAAGGGAGGCAGCCAAGTGGGGAGAGGTTGGAGTTCAGTCCAGTGTTCAATGATGATAAGACGGCCAAGGTGCCCGGGCATGCAGTTAAGCGCCAGCCAGGGGCTCTGCCCAGACTTTGATCCCCAGCAAGAAAGCTCAAGGTTGAAAACTGTGGGCTCAGAAGCTCTCCTTGAGATGGTCCAACATAACGCCCCCCCCCCCTCCCCAGGAACACAGTGTCTCACTCAGCCCCCACGGCTCCAGACAGATAAAGCCAAGGCCTTCTGCATGGGATAAAGTAGCTAACAACTCACCTCCCGTTTATCACCCACCACACCCACCATGGGGCTACCCTCCAGCCCCGTCAGCCTTCGAGCACCTGCCAGCTCACAGCACACGGCCTTTCCCCTCCCCTCCCCCAGTGTGTGGCGCCCGGGGGTCGGGCAGCTGGGAATTGGACATCCAGGAGAGACTGATGGGCAACCGCACATTCCAGGGCTAGGCCTCAGGTAGAGGCATCTAGATATTTCCTACAACCGACCATTCCAGGCCTCTGCATCTTTTGCTCAGGCCATTCCCTGTGTTTTGCCCTTCCTATTCTGCCAAGTTTGCCTCATAAACTCCTATTCATTCGAGACTTTGCTCAAATGACAGCGTTCCTCATCTCCCCCAAAACAATTACTTTCCATCCACTGTGCACCTACCTCTGCTACAATTCATGTCCCCTTTGTTCATTACATTTCCTTGTCTGAGCGTCTGTTTGCACTTCAAGACAGGTGGCAGGGACCTGGTGCTATTTGTCAATGGACCTGCCTGCTCAGAGGGAGCATAGAGCAGGCGCTTGTTTGATAAATGAGTGGATGAACTGTATCAATCAAGCCCAAATAATTCCTTTCATAGACACAATTCAACAAAAGGAGCATGTGAAGATAGAGATGAAAGTGAAAAGGAATTTAAACTGTTAATGTAAAAAACCACTGAAACCTGTAAAGATTTTTTGTGAGTTTATTTGAGCCAAACTGTCGACATATGAAGGGAAGCAGAACCTCAATGAATTGAGATAATGCTCCGGAGAATGGAGGGTTACATCTGTATTTATACATTGCAATCAAAGGAAAGGGATGTAGGCGGGTTACATGAAATTCACTGGTGATAGATTAAGGAGGTGGGATAAAGCAAAGCAGGGAAACCCCTGGGATTGGATAAGAAGTAAAATGATGGACACATACTTAGGTGGGTACAGGAACAATTAACATGATAATGAAGGAATTTGTCGTCTCTGTCCTGGCGCCCAGCACATTAGGTTGTGCCCCAAGGGGTCCAGAAAAAGGGAAGTTACAAGTTACCCTGACATTTCAAGGGTGTGTTATCATAGATTCGAAAAGACAGATAGGCTCAGTTAATGTAAAGGTTGACGTTGTCAGTGAAGATACCGGCCTAGGACATAACTGCCCACCATCATTGCTTTAAAGTTTAATTTCAGACCATCCTTTGTGGTGGCTTTAGGTCTCTGAGTTTGCCAGACTGCCATGCAGGCCTCCCCTGAGCTTGTCAGGTCAGCATGTGGCCCCTTTCGTCCACAAAACAATATTTATAAAGATGAAGCTGTTTGTGCAGGGGACAACAAGCCAAAATAAAACACAGTATAAAACACAGTCCCAAATCTGGGGGAAGGGGAGGACAGAAAAGCAACGGTGGAGAAAGAGGGCAGGAGGTGGCCCGAGAGCCTCAGATCCTACAATGTATGTTGACAAATATAAAATTTAACACAGGGATGCAAAGTATAGAAGTTGTCAAAAAGAATTTAGCCTTCAAGAGAAAATGAGACAAAGCAAAGAAAAAAAGCAGTCCAATGGTCCAGAGGCCAATAGGACCACAGGCAGCCAGGAGTCCTCAGTACTTCACACTCAGGCCGGCAGGTGGAGGCGGGGCCCTGAAATCTTTCTAATTCTCCTGCAAATATTCATGTCACACGTTTCCCAACAGATGAGGATTACTTGATCTCGGCCAAAAGATAAGGACATTATTTTCCCCCAAAGTATAGAAAAGGATTTCCAAAGAGAGAGCGAAGATGGGAGGACAGTTAGAAACAGGAGGCTGTCTCCCCGTCCAGCAGAGGGTACTGCAACTCTGCCCAAGACCAAGACATTATCCCAAAGACCCAGGAAAGGGCATCCGGGCTCTGCCTCACACTCCCATCACCCCGAGCAGCGCCGCCATCTGAAAAAGAGGTGCTGGCTGAAGTCAAGAAACTGAGCATTTGGAAGTCAAAGTGCAGCTGAAATGAAAGCAAAGAAGGAGGCAGACCCTAACCCAAGGGACTGAGCTGGCAGCTGTTATGGGAAGAACTGGTGTTGGAATATGATTACAAATCCCGCAGGAGGGACACTGGTTCCTAAAGAAGAGAGCAGTCTTAGGGAAGGGTGAGGAATTGAGGGGGGATAAGAACCAGAAAGAGTAAAGGAAATGCAACTAAAAGCATCTCTTAGGCAAAGAGGAATAAGTGCACCATCCTAAATCGGACACAGGCATCCAAAATGGTTACCTGTTCCCATAGCTTTCCAACAGGATAATTCTAAAGACACATAATGAGAATTTGGGAGCTTAGATTTCAATATAGAATATTAGATTTCCTGAATAGGAAGTCACCGCTAGGATAGGGACGAAAGAATTATATCTGTTACATGATTACCACAGCCCCAATTTCACAAGTTTTCTAACCATTTTGAGTCCCCTAAAGCACATATTCCCAGAGGTGCTGCAATACCAGGCTGTGATATTGGGATATAAGAAATACAGATGCTCCTTGACTTAGGATGGGGTTACATGCCAAGAAATCCATCGTAATTGAAAATATTGTAGGTCGAAAATGTATTTAATACAGCTAACCTACCGAACATCATAGCTTAGCCTAGCCCTTCTACTGAATTCTTACTGCTTTCACACCATTGTAAAGTCAGAAAGTCACAAGACGAACCATCCTACATTGGGAACTGTCTGTATATACATTTGGTCTTCATCCGTTTCCTGGCATAAGAGCTACGAAACCCTTGCATTTCCTGAACAATAGAGGTGATGGGTGCATCTTTTGTTCTAATATTTGGTCTTAGTCCTCCCAGACACAGGCCTTCTAAGACCCTTGGAGTCTCTAGTGTAGGAAGTGTGTCATTTTGTATGTTAAGGAGGTGCTGGGGGTGAGGGGGGAGGCCTAGATAGTCCCAGGATCGGGGGTGGTTGCCAGAGGAATTACCAGTGATCAGCAGGTTACAACTTTCAGCCCCACCCCCTGGACCTCCAGAGAGGGGAGAGGCTGAATACTGAGTTAATCACCAGTGGCCATGGGCATGCCTGCGCAATGGCACCTCCATAAAAGCCCGACACAGCAGGGTTTGGGGAACTTTCAGTTGGTGAACACAACATGTGCCAGGAAGATAACACACCCCAAGCGCCTGTGCTTGGAACTCTTCCAGACCTCTTCCTGTGTACCTCTCTCTGGCTATTCACTTATGTTATCCTTTACAAGAGGCTCAGTGCACAGAATTTTGTGCACTGGTAGGGTCCCTAGTGGCTGCCGGCTGCCGGCTGCTGGCAGGGTACTCCCTCCCTTCCCCCAGTTGCCTGCTGCTGCCGTTGCCACCAACCAGGGCCTCCCTCCCTTCCCCCAGCCCACCCGCCCCCTGGTCGAACTCCCGGAAGAACTCCTGGTCGAGGGGACAATTTGCATACTAGCTTTTATTATCTAATCTAATAAAAGACAAATAGGGTAATTAACTGTACCTCTGACACGCTTCCCATTGGCTAATCAGGGCGATATGCAAATTAACTGCCAACCAAGATGGTGGCCAGCAGCCACGCAGCTGAAGCGAACAGGAGG